TGAATAAAACACTTGAATAACAGTTGGCTACTTCATAACTCTTTAAAAACCCTTAAAACCTTTAAAGCATTTGAAAGTTTCGAGATTTTAGCTTCTCTCTGCGGAAGATCGAACGTGTCCTCGGTAGTATAGTGGTGAGTATCCGCGCCTGTCACGTGCGAGACCCGGGTTCGATTCCCGGCCGAAGTATCCGGCGCCTGTCACGTGCGAGACCCGGGTTCGATTCCCGGCCGGGGAGTTCTTCACCAACTAAGATATCATCTCCTCGGTAGTATAGTGGTGAGTATCCGCGCTGTCACGTGCGAGACCCGGGTTCGATTCCCGGCCGGGGAGTTCTTTTGCGTTTGCATTTTTCCACTAGACTGTTGAAATAATGAATATGTGTTTACATGAAGAAAAGTTTTTCTGTACGTTTGTTTTTTGAGTAGGGGGTTAACTGTTTATCAGGTTCCCTGCCCTGCTATATTTTGGATGTTTTTTGATGAATTTAAGCTTGTTTCGATTGCATGCATATGTTACTAATATTGAGCTGTTTAACATGATCGTTCGGCCTTCGTATAGAAGACAATTAAAATTTGCGTCTTCTTTTCAAATTCAAAAGTGAAACGCGTTGAAAAGTGTTAAAATCAGGTGCTGATCGTGAGATTCGTCAGCAGTTTGTCTTCTGGAAGCAGATTGCGTTATCCAGTTGGTCGTTGCCGTGAACTGTTCTGAGAGGAGCACAAAAGATTATTCGATCCTTACTATTTGTGTTGTGTTGCAGTTGGTTTTGCGATGTCATCGAGAAAGTGAGTTATTCTAATTATTTTAAAATATGATATTATTAACTCGTAAGAATAAATAATAACATTCTTATTTCTCAACAAGTAGTGGATAGAATTTCGAAGATGATTTACCCGAATGTGTTGATATTCCTGAGAATAAGAGACTGATTGTATAATTAGTATTGTATAATTTATTGTATTGTATAATCAGCTCTTTGAATGGCCATCATATGAAGTGCGAAGACGGATTCTATGCGTGTTCTTGAACTGACTGAACATATTAAGACCATAAAAGTGAAGTAAATGAAGGTATTTGTTGATGGAAAGCTAGGCATTATTATTAGCTGTCTTCGAAAGAAGGGGAAAATAGTAAAGGGATGTCTTCGAAGAACACTTTGAAATGAAATAATATTTCATTGTGATTGGTGTAATTAACAAATGAAATAAACAACTCACAGACGTGCTGCAACGCCGTCACGTCGAGGTGGGAAACGTGTTGACGACAAAGAGGCATTAGAAGTGGTTTGTCGAATATGTCCATATCACGGAAATGATCCTTGTGCTGAGGTTGTTGATGAAGAACACGTAAAGCTGATACCACCGTCTGGCGTTTCTCAACGGATTGGACTGCCCACCGTTGGTGTTTTATTTGTTTCTTTGTCATTCCGTTCATTTGTTTATTAATTCTCGAGACAAAGACATAACAACTCTTGTATCGGTAGTTTTGAAATGCTTATTTTGTCATCGGAAAGATGTTATTTTGTTAAATTTTGGATAGTCACCCATCAAGCTTATTAAAACCGGGATCTAAACGATCATTATGAGCGGCAGTTATTGTTTTTGGAATATTTTATTATCAGCTTATCTTCATTATTCAGTATTTCACAACTTTATTGTCGAAATTATCATTTTCCTTTTTACTGTTATCATCATTGTCACTAATATGATAACGATTATAATTCTGAATGAGTAATTTTCCGAATACAATTGATTATCTTTATATTTGCATGCCTGCTCACAAATTTGTGTTTCATTGTGATATGTGTGCTTGCTTTGATTGAAATTGAGTACCTGTATGTTTCAGCAAGAAAGTGTTTACAAATTTTCCTATGTGTTGGATGAGAGTGACAGTCAAAAAACCGTTTTCGAAAGGACGACAATTGACTTGATTGAGAATTTGATTCGTGGACGTAATTCTCTTCTGTTCACGTACGGTGTTACGGGCAGTGGTAAAACGTACACAATGACCGGCAACACAACGGTACTTCATTCATTTTATATGCAATTGCAATAACTCGTTATGACTGTCCGTTATTTGTTCTTAACAGATAACCAATTGTATGAATCTGGCATTCGTTTACTGATAATTTCACATCAACTGGAAGCATAAGAATGCAGTTTTGAGAAGTGAAACCATGAGTGATCAGAAATGAAGTGTGTTTATTGTTAAGGAAACGACAACTGGTATATTGCCTCGCACGTTGGATGTCATATTCAATTCGTTGCCGAATCGCGTGGATCGATGTGTTTTCAAATCGGATGGTCGCAATGGTTTCGAAGTTCGTTCTGAACTGGAAGCCACGTTGGCGAGACGACGTTTCGATTCGAACCGATCCAACAGCATCGAATTAACGAATCGTTTCACAGAGAAAAAACGAGTATATTTCATGTTCTTTATAGAGTTTATCCGATTTAATTCAGTCGTTTTTATTCTTTTATGTAAATTTCAAAAATTTACTGAATTCCGATATCAAATGGATGTTAAAGCAGTATTGCTCAAACATGTCACTAATCAATTCAAAATAAAGTGTGGAAGGTTTCTGTGGTGTTCACGTAATCAAAGAGATTTATGAATGTTCTTTGTCGGGATCGTTTAATAATTCGACGAAATAATTGAAGGTTAGCGGTGCAAGCGATGAAATGTTATGTGCGGTTTTCGTGTCCTATGTTGAAGTGTATAATGACATCTGCTACGATTTGCTGGATGAACCAGTTTTGTCTCGTGATGGTTCAAGGTGAGTTGTTGATTTTAGAATGTATGATTGGATTCATTTCATGGATTCATNTATGGATTTCATTTCGTTTATTCATTGTGTCAGCAATACGCATTGAATTAGTGGTGAATTAACTGAGGGATTGGAATCAAATTTTGAGTAATCGAATAGTAAACGGAATGCAGTTGTTTATTTTTGATGGATTGAATTGCTTATAGGACGCTACCGGCAAAAGACATAAGATTGGGCGTGAACAATATGGTTTATGTGGAGAATGCGGTCGAGTTAGAAGTGGACTCGAGTGATGAGGCGTTGGAACTGTTCTATAGAGGTCGCTTTACTCTGGCTATCTTTTTTGTTATTTTTATTTTACTCACTTTTATTTTCATTGATGTATTTAAATTTTATTTTTCAAATTTTTATCAATGTAAATTTCAGGTCAGGAACGTCGTCGTGTTGCGGACACGTTATTGAACAAACAGAGTAGTCGTTCGCATTCAATTTTCAATATTCGACTCGTGATGGCACCGTGTAAATTTGCTGCTTTTCATCCTGATTCTGATCCGAACAAGGTATTATTTGCTATATGGATGAATTGAATACTTTATGAATCGTTGATCTTCCATTGACACGCACCTTCGCTATTAGCTTCAACAAATATGGCATGAATGGCACTTGTTAGCAGAAAGGTTGATTGTGATCTAATCGATGAATTATTTGAGATTCACATAAGTCAACTCTCACTGGTGGATCTAGCTGGTTCAGAACGGACGAAGCGAACTGGTAACGAGGGTATTCGGTTGGCTGAAACTGGCAAAATCAATCAAAGTTTATTGGTGCTGAGACAGTGTTTCGAAAAACTTCGGTTTGTTTTTGGCTTTATCTTTTTTGCGCGGAGCTTTCGAATTCTTCGACGAAACCTCTTACGAGTCGCGCTTTCATTTTTGTTTGAAAATGTATAGGTTGGATAGTGGAGTAATGAAATAGCGAGGTTTACAGCGTATCAATTTTGGTCTGGTATAACTTTCATTGCGCTTTGTTTAATAGCATTAACCCCGTGTTACGGCGTGATTCGCTGAAAATAGTTACACTTCATTCATGTTGACTTGTACTGTCGATAAATCAGTTGAAAAGCGGTGATGAATGGTCCTTATTCAGCGAGAATCAGCGCAATCCGAGCACATCAGTACCGGTGCCGTATCGAGAATCAAAAATCACGCATCTTTTCAAAAACTATTTCGAGGGAACTGGTAAAGTTCGTATGATCATTTGCATTAATCCAACACCGAATGATTACGCCGAAAATGTGGTACGTTTATTGTTTTAGGTGTTTATTCACTTTTTTGGTATTGCCATTAAAAATTTTTGTTCAGTTGCTTTGATGAACTAATTTGTCATATTGATAAAATTGAATTGTGTTTGTGGTTCTTCAATGAAGTAAGGTGATCGTTTACTTTAAAGATTACTTATATTCAAGGGTGTAATGGGTTTCGCTGAATTATCACAAAGTATTGAAGTGCTTCGAGGCACGGAAGTTTCTGTGCCAGTCGGAGATGGCCTTCCAATAAGCCGTCGTGATTACATCAAATGGAGCAGTGAGATCGAAAATCTTGTTCCTAAGCCAGTAAGTTTGTTGTTTTCAAAAGTAATTCCAAAGAAGTGCCTCTGTGATATGATTTGAAGTGATAGAGAAGTTCACCGCAGCGTATCCTATTAATTGTATGTCTTGAATATTATTGGTCATATAATACTGTCAAGAATATGCGTGCTGCATCGTACTTGTTATTTTTTAATGAGTGTACCCTATAGGTTTGTATGAATCTGTTCGATGTGTCTCCGCCGTTCGAGTTGAAAGGTTCAAATGATATCGAATCGATAACGCGTCTTCGAGTTTTCTATCAAAATGCATTACGTAAACGTGACTCATACACAACTGAATACGAAGTCAAAGGTTATCATTGATACAGTTTCAACTTGTTTTTGAATTTTGATGATTCGAGTGGAATGCTTGTGACCACAAATATGCGAATTTCGTGATCAGATCTTCATATATCTGTCATGCATTTGATCCAGTTTGTTACTTGTTTTGTTAGTGCGTTTCCTTCACGAATAGAAGCGTTTTGTGGGTATGTTCATGGGAAGTTTAAATATTCAACAGATGATTTTAACTGATCATTCGGTCCGAGAAGTAATGAATGAATAATTCATTGTAGAAAACGACTTCGAAACACAATTGAAACGAACTTTGTGCCTTTCGGATTTGCAATTGATGCGCATAAAGGAACTGGAAAATGAAAGAGACGAGGCTGAACGATCAATGGCCACATTGATGGCGCAGTTGAGACAATCGAGAGTATGATTCTTATGCGATTCTGAATGAGTTTATCGTGCCTCACAGCATTATCGTTTTAACTGAGCGATTTCATATTATTCATTGATAGTAGTGTTTGGTTAAATGATGATAGTGTTCTGGTGATAAGTGCATTGATTCAGTGAAATTTCACTGATTGATTGGTCCATTTAAGCGTGAAAATCAAGCACTTCGACATCGAATTGGACGTTATGAAGCTGAGGAAAACGATAAGGCGAGTCAAGAGGAAGAGCTTCGAAAACGTGAGCGAGGATATCAGGAACAACTGAGAAAGAAAGAAAAAACATTACATCAGGTAGGCGATTATGTTGCTCTTATATTGCAAATTTTATGTTCTGAAATGCATTCGAAATTGGTGATGTTCATTCGAGAATGCGTTTGAGACGAAAATTTGTGTTTGAGGTTCGTGAACTATTCGAGAAGTCGCCATCAGCACGGAAGCAGTTTGTAAGCAGTGAAAACGTGAATCGTGTTGGTTTTGCGCAGTCAAACGAACAGATTGCTGGACCGTCGGGAATCATGAAGGTATGCGAAAATTTATTATCGTTACTTTTTGCTTTTAATAATAATTAAAAAATTCCTTTGATACAATGGCGATTTTAGTCCGCATTAAAGCAAACGGCAACGACGAATGGAAACACAAGAACGCTCCTTTATCCGTCACTTTTTGGTGAACGACAAAATCTTGAACACGAAAGAGGAAGACTTCGGGTAATCAGTTGTTAATTACTTATCACTTTTTAATCGAGTTGTTTACTCAGAATGGATTTGAAATTTCTTGTGATCGCTGAGAACCGATCGTGTTAAGCAGACATCAAGAATAGTGGCTGAATTTTTTGTGGTTGGAAAATCTCATAAATTGATTTCCTCATTAGAAGAGTCGAGAGACTGAGAAACGAGGAAATGATAATGGTGATTTAATAGTGCATCAATAAGAAGTGTTCCTCATTAGCCATCGATGAAAATCGCTATTCATCGGTTTTAGACCAATTTAATCACGGCGGTCATTCCAGATTGCTCAAAGGCCTGGCTTCTACAATGCCAAATACCATCGTCGTTCGAAAAGTGCGAATGGACGTGTTATTGATCACCAGCCAAGGGTGCACATCCCCGAGGGTACATATATGCAGGTACGTGATTGTTGCCACTCTGGTGTCACTCTTAATTCAGTTCATTGGTATTCCATTCGGTTTCGAGCGAAATCTTCACTCGCAAATGAGAAAGTTTCGTTCGGAACCGAACGATATAAGAACGTCGTTAATATTAACGAATCTGAATCAGAAGTGAATTTAGAGTGTAATTGATCAAGCATGAATAGTTCGATTATTAATTGTTCTGACCTATCCATTTATAGTCTATAATCATTGTAGATAATATTGTTCAGTTAACGAAGGAAGTTAAATATATGGAATTTTCAGCCACGAATTCCGGGTGCGCATCGTTCAACAAAAGTCGAAATAAGCGATCTACAAAAGAGTAGTGAGTATGTGTTAACACATCAAGAAGTTGACACTGAAGGCAATTTGACAACGCAACTTGTTAAGGTGGGGTTATTATGCGATTAACATGAATTGCTTTGAAACGTTTTTAGAGTATTTCAAGTGCACCGTGAATGGAATGCGAATGATTTCACTTCTTTGCAAATTTTTAAAATCACTTTCTGAAGTCGACAGATATTGATGCGGCCGTTGCTTTTGACTTGATAATGTTTTGTGTAGAATAATACATGAATACGTTCCTTGATTATTATTTAAAAGGTGGTATAAGTTATGCCACGGCAGTGGTTTCATAATTAGTTTATGAAATTTTGTTCAGTTCT